GGTTTAAAAGAAGAGTATTTCATATATACTTGTTCATAGATCTTTTCAGTGCTGTCAGGTAAAACTTGCCTACTGTACTACTACTTTAGATAGATAAATTTTTAAAATCCATAATGATTAAAGCTTTTTGTATGCTTATAACAGTTTCGTTTTACCTAAATATGCTGTATTAGACCAGAATTTTGTACATTATCCTCTGTTTATATTGCAAACCTCTGTAAGTGTGAGTGAGTGAGTGAGTGGTATTGCTAGATTCAATTATAGGAATGTGTTTTTTATTTCAAGTTTGGTTTTTGCTATTGCAGGGCAACAAGCAGGAGATCAGGAAGGTCAACTGGTACTTCAAAAAATGTAGCACAGCAGGTTAGAAACAAGTTTTATCTTAGGAAATTTGCATTTTTGGCATCTGTATTTTACAATGGTATTACTAGTACCATAAATTTAATCAATGCAAAGTCAGTCAACCCCTTTTCCGCTTTTCCTTCCCTTTCTGTAGAAGAGGCGTCAGAGTGTGCTGCTAAAGAGATTAGATTTACCTCCTGATGTAGTAAGCACATCACCAAATGTGCGACGAACAAGGAGACAGTCCATGGGACATCTGCCCAGAAAGAAAGAGGTTTTGCAAGAATCCACGAAAACCTCAAAGCTACCACGAGCAGTATCGGAGAAAACGGTGAAAAATAAAGCATCCCATTCCAAATTACCACTACCTGCCAAGAAAGAGAGCACCAAAACTGTGAAAGCAGAAGACAAGCAGGCAACAAAAACAGAATCGGAAGCCAACGTGGTCATTTCCCCGCAAAAATTCTATACCTCTCCTGAGAAGAAGTCCAAAGCTCTGCGGCGTAAATCTTTTGGGATGGCAGCCCTGGAAGAGAATATAGTCACAGAGACAAGAGCAAAGAGGAAAACAGAAGTAACTGTTTCTGTGAAGAAGGTAAGACATATATTTCATCTCCTTCCTTTCCTTTTCTTCATTTGCTGGAGTCCTGTTTAGAAATTTCTATTTATATAGTAAGGTTTATTTTATCGATATTATTGACCCTTCAAACATAGAAATACATATGTGAAAATAATGTCTAATCATTATAGACAAGATTTAATGTAATCACTTCAGTTTTTTGTTAAAGGTAGCATTAAAACCAGTGATTTCTTACCTAATTTGACCTTAAATTATCTTCCCCTCTAGCACTTCACTGGATTGTTACAAGGTACACTATATTAGATCTAAATTGCTGTTCCTTTTGCTTTAGATATCTTAGTTTTTTGCTGAAGACTGTAGGGGACCCAAAACTCAGATATTCCACGTGGTTTCTTAAATGGACAAATAAATGAATAAGGGGAAAGAACAACAGAAAGGGATGGATAAAAATAACAAGTATGAATGAACGTGTGAAAGAAAGAGAGAAAAGGAGAATGCAAGAATGAGAGGGAGATAGAGGGCAGGGAGAAAGAGTGAATTGGGTGAAGAAGTGAGAAAGAAAGAAGAAAAAAAAATTGCTTAAGGGCCGAGCTAGGACTGACTTTGAATGAGTGTCTCTACTTGTCACTAAGGCTTCTTTTGCTTCCCGAAAATTTCAGACCTACTTGGCAGTGACACTTTAGGTGTATATTGATGAAATTATAGAAATATTAGTAATTATTATAAAAAAATAATAAAAAAGAGGGTAATTGATAAGATATATATATGTGTGTGAGTGTATAAATTATTGCTGATACCAAATGGGTATTAAGAAATGCCATTCCAACTCTGATGACAATGGCCACTGTGGATCTCTTACCCTCTCTCATATTCCTAAATTCTGTCGTGAAGGCAGATAAGATCCATTTTAAATGATATCAAGTCGTACAAATTGTTAGGCTATGAAAACTAGCAGATTTTGCAATATACATTTGGCAGCTATGTTTATATCAAGTATGCATCAGAGCTGGGCATAATATTTGTTAGATAGTTTTCACATTGATCTACAAGTAAAAAAGGCCTTAATAACTCAAAATGGTCCAGTTGTGACCCCCCTCTCCCACCCCCTTAACCTTCATACTTCCTAACAAACTCATGTACAGTTTTAGTTATTTAATTGACAATGATCTTTTACTGTTTACTTTAGACAGAGGAGCCCCAGAACAAGAAGAGAAGAGGAAAATCATCCACATCCAACTTGGAAGCCACCGCAGCCAGTCCACCTGCGGCAAAGGCAAAGAAGGCTAAGAAATCAGACGAAGCAGAATCAGACACAAGTTCTTCTCCTGCACAGTTAAGATCTCAAAAGTCCCCCTCGGCCAAGAAATCAAAGAAGGCCGAGCCGAAAAGTCCTTCCCCGGCCCCAAAGAAAGTAGAGTCACCTACTCCTTCATCTGCCTCAAAGAAAGCCAAGCAAACAAAACCAGTATCATCATCTCTTAAAAAGACAAAGAAGTCAAGCACGCCTACCATTTCTGTGCTGAAGACTCCGAGTAGACTTGGTAATATAACGCCAACTCGATCGCCGAAGGTTAGGCTTACCAGGTCTGTGGCAAGGAGCTCACAGCGAGTACGACTTGTTGGAGTAAGCCCATCGCCATCAACTACAGCCTTCAGAAAGACACCAAAGTCTAGCAAGAAAGAAGTTACCATCTCTACAGATAACTTGGGTAAGTTTGTAGGTTTTTTCCTTCATTCTATCTCCCTCCCTCTTCATTTTCACTTCCACTCTTTTCTTTGTCATTATCTCCTCTCATATCTTCCCTCTCTCTCACTCATACCTTCTTCCACACATTAAATTCTTATATTAACATAATATTCCACAATGTATTTCTAGGATCATCGCCTGCACTGTCTGCACGATTGCAGCTGCAACTCATACGATGCAATTCACCAATGAAGGAGAAGTATAAGGCTTCTAGTTCAAAGGTCAAGCCATTCACTCCAAAACCAGATCCTCCTCCCCGAAGCTTACTAAAGCAAAACATGAAGAAGAAGGTGGCTAAAAATATAAAAGCCACAACTAAGGTGGGTAACAAATGCAGTTTTTCAATTCTGTTATTACCATTTTGTTTTATTGTCCTGAACATTATTATTGTCAGAAGTGTTGGAGTGTAGCAAATATGTTATGTTACTTTATTTTTTATTCTTCATATTTATAACTTCACTCCTCCACAATTACCATCATCATGTAGACATACATAAATCCAGACAAATGTTTCTTGTTTATATTTAAAAGCCAGTGTTATTCCCCTAAAAGAGACCACAAACATAGTGATAATTGCACTCCTACAATAAATAGTGTATAATTTCACTGTTTGGGTATATACTTAGTATTTCTAAGTGGCAGTGAGTACTTTTCCTTGCAGCATTAGACACTTTAGGATTGGTTTTCTTATAGACATATGTGAATGCTTATGACAAACTTTTTATTTTCATTTCAAATATTGCAGGTTGAAGTACACAGACTGATGGATCCAGAAATTAGCACCACAAAGAAGATAACTAAAAGGGAAGAAGAGATATTCATTCCAGATACACCAGTTTCAGTAACCAACCTTCCCCCAACACCGAAGTCTTCACGCAAAAGTCTTAGTTCTTCAGTTTCCAGAAGGTAGATCTTTCTTTCTTCGTCGTCTTTGTCTTTTTTTCCCTGTATAATAATATAATGCAAGAAAAAAATGTATCCATTAGGTTAAATAAATGATGTATTGGCAGTGTTAATTTTCCTGTGCATGATAAATATGAACTCATTATTCACACTTAAATATGAATTGTTTCAGGGCTGCCCTCCGTACTACTGCTGAGATTGTGCCATGCCCTCCCCTATCCTCTCCGGAAACTCCACGAAGTAGTACACCAATTGATAAGGACGACAAGTTAGATGACCTTGCTGTCGACCCAACAATTTCAACCTTCAGCCAAGAAGAGGAGGAAGTATCTGTTGTAGACTCTGCTAAAGAAGAGGAAGTTTCCGAGACTGAAGAATCACCAGAAAAGACAAAACGAAGTTATTGTACTCTTATGTAATCAGACATACTGCTTTGTTACAAATTTAAAAGCTTACTACTGGGTAGTATGCTGCAGTGGAAATAATATTGATGGCACTTCATTTTGCTTAAGTTTTTATAGATTCAAATATTCTATTTTTTTAATGACATATCTTTTCCACTTTGTATTTGTTTAAGACATTTATGTCAGGATTGAGAAATTCATATTTCTCATTTATGAATGTGGACTTGATCAATAGGCTTTGGTTTTATCATAAGCTTATATTTGATTTTAGATACCTATCTCATGCTGATAGTTTTTGCATTATTGAGGTCTTCATATGTTACATTTTTAGGAGATAAATTTTCATACTTTGAATTTTTAGAAAAGTAGAGTAAACTGACACTTGTAGCCTAAGATCGTACATTTAATGAAACGTACAAAGCTTGTTGCCTTTGAACAACTGTTATATATGATATAAGCAGGTTGTCTGCAATAAATGCCTTTGCATATATTTGGAAATATGTCAGACATTATATTTAAACCTAAAATGTACCTGAAAATCTTGTAATTGTATATAGCATTTACATACTGCCTGATCAGTAATTTTAAATTATTGATATTCCATTGATGACTGTAGTTTGTAATGAAATAAATGTGTACATAGAAAAAAAAAACTTTTGTTACCCTGCATTAATATAAACAAATTCAATATTAATTGAATTATCATACAATGGAGAATGAGGTCCAGTGTTGGGCATCTCCCCTATTTTGGGCCTTTTTTGGGGTCTTTTCTTCCTCTCTCCTTTTCCTACTCTTCTCCAGCCCCATGTTCTGTCCACTTCTTAATGATGATCATATAATCACTATTAGAAAAATGGACAGTGCACAGCCAGAATACATTGTCTCCAGTTGAATGAAACCATATATTCTACTAAGTCATGATGTGTTTATGCTCATTCTGCAGTCTATGATTCTGTTACAGTATAAGTAATGGCCTTAACGCATAGTGAAAGCAGGTCTACTAGAACCTATTGTTTAGGGCAAAAGACAGACAAACCCTTTTATCAGGAGTGTTCTCTTAATTTGTTTCTAACCATATTCTTTCCTTTAAGTACTTTCATTTTATTTTCTTCAGCTACTAAAATTGAGTGCTCTTGAGTTGGTAGGGGAGGACTCACCTCTTTAATATTTCTTTTTCATTTTTGATGGGCAGCAAACCACAATGCTGATATATACATATAATCAATCAGATAATTATGACAGATTTAACCTTATCTACAAAAAGTATTACACTAAACAAAAAAGTTACAGGATATCAAAAACATAGGGGAGAACAAATAGTTCATTCTGACAAATGCAATAAAAGGTATAAATGGGATGAATAACTTTACAATGCAAGAGATGCAAATACATGTGATTTTTTTCCTTTGATCTAGAATGAATCTACTGCTATCAATTTGTACACAAACTTGTATATTCTGTTGATTCACCAGTACCTATAATACCAAAGATGTTTTAAAGAATAAAATATAGCAAGGGTGTTAGGAATTGATCTTCCCAATTTTAACTGACACTTATGGAACTTGTAAAGTTCTTTTCACAGAAGTGAACCCATTATTTTTTATTCTTACCACTTACTTGGTACAGGCTTTTCAAAAAAGGACACAAAAAGCTAAAAAAAAAAATACCAACTATATTATATGAGAAAAAAAAAATTGTTAATAACGATATCAAGGTAGACAGAGTGAATAATTATATTGATGAGTAAGGCTATTCACACCATCATGCACGAAAACTATTTGTATGCTAAAGTGATACAGAAATAAATGGAGAGGAGATAAGCGAACAGAGGAGAGTGGAGAGAGGAAGAAGCAGGAGGGAGGGAATGGTAAGTATACAAATACCAGGTAGTAGACAGGTGCCTACACTCTCCCTCTTCCACTCCACCCCCTCCACAGATAACTACAAAGTGATGTGCACTCGCATTCAGATACTCACCACTGGCTGCCAAGAAAGGTACACATTCTTTTTTTTTTCTCATTGCACAAGGAGCTGGCTTTTACTGGTCATTGGGGATTGAAAGGTAACATGCTATAGTTGAGTCTTCAACACAGAGCAAGTGAAAGGCATAAAACATTAACCAGAAATGTGCTACATAATCATTTGATACTGATTCTGAAAATTACTAAAGTACCTGGTCTTTTACATCAAACAAGAATCATATCTATGATGATAACAGTTACTTATACATATACATATACATATACATATACATATACATATACATATACATATACATATACATATACATATACATATACATATACATATACATATACATATACATATACATATACATATACATATACATATACATATACATATACATATACATATACATATACATATACATATACATATACATATACATATACATATACATATACATATACATATACATATACATATACATATACATATACATATACATATACATATACATATACATATACATATACATATACATATACATATACATATACATATACATATACATATACATATACATATACATATACATATACATATACATATACATATACATATACATATACATATACATATACATATACATATACATATACATATACATATACATATACATATACATATACATATACATATACATATACATATACATATACATATACATATACATATACATATACATATACATATACATATACATATACATATACATATACATATACATATACATATACATATACATATACATATACATATACATATACATATACATATACATATACATATACATATACATATACATATACATATACATATACATATACATATACATATACATATACATATACATATACATATACATATACATATACATATACATATACATATA